TCTGTTGATAAGCTGCCCAGAAGTCAGCGTAAAGAAACCTTAAAACAGAAGATGAATTCCTTCCAAGAAATGAAGATGTCAGAGGTATGATGCTAGGTCATTTGTGCCATTTTGATGCATAATTACAGCTCAGTTAAAACAAATTAATTTTTTTTAAACTCTTAAATTTAGTATTATTTTTCAGTCTATATTGCTTTGGTGGTGCAAGTTGCTCAGTTTTGGAAATATTTACAATTGTGACGTGATCATAAAAAATATGTTGAATGCACTGGAGAAAGCTCCTTTTTCAGAAACAATGAACCTGGTTAAATGGCTGCTATATCTAAGAACTATTCTTTTGCTATCAAACTACTAACCAACTTTATCACTGCAAATAGAAGTATACATCTACCAGGAAATAGACTAGATGTAAACACTGATGGCATGCTTCTCAGTTGAGTTATGTTGGTTGCAGGCTTCTGGTAATTGGCATGTGTAGATTGTTTGAAGGGAAACGGCACCTGCATGAAACTGCTGATTTTTGTTTGATTATTCACCCACTCCTCAATTTCTCCTCCTTCTCCTTTGTTTAGGAAGAGAAATTCCTTGTAGCTCAGAAAAACTATCTGCACATCACACTGAGGAATATCATTTCCAACAACAAGAGAGAGATTGCAGACCTGGAGAGGGATTGTCTTAACAAGAAGCAAAGCCTAATCAGAGGTACAACATCCGTAAAGCAAACAGAATCACAGTAACAATTTCAGCTTTGTTTTCTTCATTTTGTGTTTATCCCATCCTTGCTGTAGTTACCATTTGATTTCATTCAGTGTCAACTTTTTAAATTTGATTAGAGCGTGAAAATACGATGTGGGACATGGAGCAGAAGAACCTTTATGAGAAACATCAGTTGGTGAAGCAGCAGATGAAAGATCAGTACTTCCTCCAGAGGCATCAGCTTCTCAAAAAGCATGAGAAGGTACACTAGTGGATATCATCTTGCCACAATAAGTTTGCACACACAACTTGGTAACACCTAAATCATGATTACATGACAAAATCAAGTTAACCAATTCTGTGTTGTTGTTTTTTCCTGCAGGAAAAGGAACAGATGCAGAGTTACAATCAGCGAATGGTTGAGATCCTGAAAACTAACCAGCAGCTGGAGAAGAGCCGACTGCCTAAGATTCAGCGCAGTGAGTCAAAGACTCGAATGACCATGTTCAAAAAGAGCCTTCGCATTACCTCATCGGGCAGTGCTGCAGAGGACAAGGAGAAGATCAAACTGGTGAGACAGAGGGGCTTTCTTACTCCATATTCACACATTCAGTTAACTATTTATTAACTTTCTCCATGCGTGGCTCTCCAGTTTTCTCAGCAGGAGGAGAAGCGGCAGAAGGCGGAGAGGCTGCATCAGCAGCAGAAGCACGAGAACCAGATGAGGGAGATGACTGGTCAGTGTGAAAGCAATATCAGAGAGCTGCTGCAGCTACAGGTGAGTGAGGGCAAATTTAATAAAACATTTTTATTACAAATCTATTTGTAGAAGAATATAGAGGACACTTAATGAACATAATAACTAGCCCACATTGCTTAACAAGCACATTTTATGCTGCAGAATGAAAAATGTCACCTGTTGATTGAGAATGAGACTCAGAGGCTCAAAATGTTGGATGAGCAACACAACTATATGATGAAGGACTGGAGGGAACAACTGAAGCCCAAAAAGAAGGTATGTTGTCTCCACTCACAATTTCTTACAAACAAAAATGTATTGGAGTCTATTTTGTGGCTCAGATACTCCCAAAATACTACCATCATAGTAATTTCTATATTTTTAAGAGCAGGCTTACTGGGAATTTTCATCAAAAACACACTGAAATGTGCTCGGTGTGAATTGAGATAAAGATTAAAAAAATGCCCTTTTTCTTACTAAAGTTGTAATAAATGCAAACAATTGTAAAACATTTATGGTTACGGTATTTTTGCTCGGGTGTTTTGAGAGTGTTTTCATTCTGAGCTCCACTTTTCTGGTTCCAGGCTCATTCTTATAACATATTTTGCTGTAGCCATGCAATTCAATAAGCAAAGTAGTAGTTAAGTACTTAAATGTACAAGACACAATGTAATAACTGCTTTCCCAATCATATAACAGGAACGTTGATATATCAAATAATTCATGATTTTTAGTGCTCTGTTTTCTACTTTGTTCACATTACAAAAGTTTACATCTTTGTGAGGTAAACTTGTGCATTTTACATTCCCAGGCCCTTGAAGATGAACTGAATGCCAGGAAAAAGGAGCAGGAGGCTTTCTTCAGGATGAGTGAGAGTTCCGACTGTCCAAACCCCAGTTCTCCCAACAGAGTCTCCAAATTTATGCCGTATCAGGACGAGACTACCACATGAGAACAGCTGCTGTGACATTACACAATATTATCTTCTGCCCACTAACGTATACACACCCACTGGTACCATTGCCTGCTGGCCTTTTTTTTTTTTTCCCCTCTTGCTTTACCAGTAATGGCAGAATACTGATCCTTCCATTAGGTTTCTTTATTGTTTTAGTAAATATTTATGTTTTTATTCATGTTCTGATGTGCGTCATTAGACACCCTGACATAATATCTACTCCCATACAGTGTTTGCTTTCTTTTTCTTTTCAAGCATGCTTCAGATTTCTCAATAATGTGATACAAAGGCCATTTATTGGGGTGAGCTGAAGATACCAAATTATCTGTTTTAATGATTAAATATTCAGAAAAACCACCTTATGATTAGGCAACAGGTTTTTTTTGTTTTTTTCCAAAGCACCCAGCCAGAGATCATTTTTTCCACGATAACAAGGAATGCTATAAATATTAACGACCTAGTAAATGAGTACTTGCTTACCTTAATTTTTCAAGGTTATCTTTCAAATAAGACCAAAAACTCCTCTAGAAATGTTTTGATTTACTGAATCTTTTTTTTTTATTTTTTTTTTATTTCCTGTTCTCTGTGCCTTACTTTGCCTTTGCTGCCAAAGTTTGCCTTTATTTATTTTTACTCAAAGAACATTATACAGCTTATCCCTATATAGTTTTGATTTACTTTGTCTTTTAATCATGGTATGAAGGATGTGATGATTTTGTGTCTTTTTTGTTTTAAATGAGGGTTAAGGCTGAATGCAATGTATCTTTGAATTTAATGGTTTCTTTTAAGATTTCGTTGTTAACTAATAAGGGAACGCAAGTTTTGTTTTTTGTTTTTCAGTATTGCTCAGTTATTTTTTTCTGTTGTATCATTACTGTAGAAATCAGTCACACTGGATGGGAACTGACAAAGCCAGAGCTGTTTGCTTTTTTTTTTTTTTTTTCTTTCAGGATGTTATAGAGGAGAGTTAAATTTGAATTGTTATGCAACATGCAGTAAATGCTAACCAATGTGCAATATTATATGTTTTTGCTAAGCTTACAGAGGTTTATTTTTCTTAAACTTTGCCTTCCTTTGCACTGAGAGCGAGAATAACACGAAGAGCTTAAACTCAAAAATATATATGTTAACTTTTTTTGGGAAGTGAATAAAAGCCTTTGGTTAAGAGTGATTTAACCATTTTATAATTTTTAGGTATTCAATAGCAATAATTTCGGTTTTTACACAATAGTTCTTCACATCATTTTAAGGGGGTGCAACAATTCAGTCTGCTGTAAGATGCCTCTAGCTGTTTAATTTTCTACTTAAAGTTTGCAGCTCAAAATCATGATTTCTTGAGTGAGGAGCGGTTTTATTGGAGCAGTTTGCATCAGCTAACTGCAGTTGGCCTGCAGATTTACACTGAATCAGGTCCACAATCAGGTACAGCTTAATCTCTCTTATATCAGAAGTATTTACATTTACAATTCTTTTCTTACTGTTTACTGGCTCTGTATCTCTGACTCTGCCTTAGTTTACATAACATTATTTGTGTGGAGGGACTGTATGAATAATTTTTTTTTCAGAAGGAACCACTGTTGTAAATAAATGCAGATTTTATAATTGCTGGATTGTTGTGGAGATTCTTTGTAACATGATACCACCTGTTCTACTGGAAAACACATCAAGACTGTCAGATGATATAATTTTTTTATTTTTTTTTTTAAACAGTTGGTTAAAAAAAGATTTATGGGATTAAAAATCCAGTGTCAACTCCTCTATATATAAACACACACACAAGGAAAGGTTATTAAAAAGAAAGTATTGTGGAGAACGCAGGAGTGTGACTATATACAGGATGTTTTTATGTAACTCATGTTAGATAGTATAGCAAATTCAGTCATTCATTGCAGCAGTGCTAAAGCTGGAGGAACTGAAGCGAGAACATTCCAGTTTGTTAACACTTACCACGCACTTCATTGGATACAAATGTTCAATTGCTTGTAAATCCAAATGTTTAATTAGCCAATCACATGGTAGCATATAATCTCCCATGCAACCATCTCTAGCATTTACAGAGTGGACAGAGGACAATATCCAGTGAGCGGCAGTACTCTGGGAGAAAATGCCCAGCTGATGCTAGAGGTGAGAGAATGGCCAGACTCCTTTGAGCTGATAGAGCAATAGTAGCTCAGACATGTAACCTTGAAACAAATAGGTTACTGCAGCAGAAGAGCACACCAGCTGAGAACAGAAAACTGAGGCTACAATTCACACAGATTTAGAAGATTGAAGGAACATTGTCTGCTGTAAGGAGTCTCAATTATGCTACAAAACTTGGTCTAAACACCACAAAATCATGGATCCATACTGTCTGACACATAGTGGTGAGGGTTTCTTGAACAGGAAAATCCCTCGACAATCACCAGATCTCAAATCAGTAGATGGCATTTTGCGATGGGAGATTCACATCACAGATGACAAATCTGAAGTATGAAGTATGACTGATGTTACCATGTTGACACAGATCAAAATCTGAGAATTTGTGCAATGAAGAATTTAAGCAGTTCTGAAGGAGCTACAACCCAAATAAATCAAATTCTAAACACTGAGTGGAAGCAGTGGGGCATCTGAAGTGAAAAATCACAAAACTTTTATTGACTTAAAGCAAAAGCAGATACACTGTAATGAAAACACATAGCAAAAAAGTAAACAGTTTACAATACTGAAATAACCCCTATACACTTGCCTTGCATTGTACTTCTGTCCTTTCCCTTTAGGATTTCACTTTAGGATTTTTTTTTTTTAAAGTTGGTAACATACTTTGGTATGATTGGAAGATGGTATAACATTATAGCAACTACAAGCAGAACAGAATTAGTGTTATACAGCTTGCAGCCTTGTCTAATTATCTTCATAACTATGAACAGATTTATTTTTTTAGTGTCAGACAATTGGTACTTTGTAAACACTTGAGATATGGACCAATTGTTAGATTACCAGCCAGTTGTTTCCCCAAACCTTTCCTTAATTACTTAAATCCTATCATCAACCAAATCAACAACCAAATACCTTCTTGAAACTTTCTTCTTCTAACCCTTTGATCAGCACAGAGGGGGATAAAATAGATGGAACATCAAAAAAAAAGTGACAATAGTTAAGATATGACTCATTTCTGTACAATAAAAAATAATTTGTTTCACCGACCATACTTGAGACCAGTCAAGCGTCAATGTAAAACATTATTCTTATACAACGGTCATACTTTGTTATCGGAGCACCACACTTCGGTTACGAACAGATTGTACATTTACAATACTGTAAATCATTGCACAAATGACTGTAGGTATTCAATTGCTATGTCAGATGGGCAGATGTGCTCTGCCGTTCACATTTTGCAAATCCCACTGATGGCTCTGAGAACAGTTATGTTAAAATACTTTGATATATAGACCCTTCTTGCCTTCTCAGTTTGGATAATATAGCCTCTTTGCTACAGTGAGGATAACACAAATAAAGAAAGCAGTCTGAAAATGGCTTATAAAACTAAATGCACCGTGGCATTCTCCCCTTTCTTTCAGTGTGTGCAAACCTTAAACTTCAGCTGAAATGACTGAAAGTGCACATCTGTTACAATTCGTTGCAACATTAATTATGCAGTCAGAATAAAAGCAATACAACACGGAAACGCTAATATGCACGTCTCCAAGGTAACAAACAGCACTGGGCAAAGAGATAACCAACTATTAGCGCTTGAAAGTTCAGATGTAGTCAATGAACTCCCCCAGTGAGTTAATTTAAACGTCTACTCTGTACTCTTGCAATGTATAATGCGATTCTTGATTTTATAGTAAAATGACTCCAAGACTCCAACAAGGACTATGTCTACCATTGCATACCATTTAATAAGCGCTGAAGCACTTCGCATATAATATTGAGGCACCATATATTAAAAGGCAAGGGTGTAGATACATTTACTGCTCTTCTAGTTTCTAGCCCGAGAAATGGCGAGACTGACACGGTGACTAACATACGGCAGCAAAGGCAAGATACTTTTTTTTTTTAACCTAAGATTTCATATATAGTTGACATAAAACAAAAAAAGTAAACATTACAAAACCCAACAAGGTCATGTGTTATTGCTGGTTCAGTTGGTAGGTAAAATATTTGTATAAAAATGAAACAAAACAAAATGTGTCAATAAAAAAAAATGTACCTATAAATTAAAAAAAAAAAAAAAAAACAGGCTAAGTAGCAAGAAATTAGTGAGATCTTGTTCATTTAGATCATTAAGTTACTTATATGTTCATATGGCGATATGTGCGAGCACATTTACTTCCTAAGGTTTCTTGCTCAGGTAATTCGAGGGGATCCAGCTCTCGACTTCTTCTCCTACGTTTTTACAGAACCACCAGCCACTGCTGTTTTTTTCCAGAACCTCAAACACTGTGCCCACCTTGAAGCTGGATGTTTGCTCATCCCCTTCAAAGTCTGCCACAGCAAGATACAGCTCATCCTTGCTGGGCTCCTTGAGTAAAGGTGGAAGCCTATCCTTGGGTGGCCCAGGCTTCAGCTGGGGCTTTGGAGGAATTGGGACTTTATTCACCTTGGGCTCTTCCTTCTCTTTGCTTGCTGGTGCCTGAAACCCTTTGGGTTTTGGGGGAGGTGGTCTGCTGAGCTGTGGTGGTCCAGCCTTGGGAACGTCCTGGGTTTCTTTAAGAGTTGGTGAAGATTTAAGTTCAGTTGGACTTGATGGATCAGTTTTCTTTGGAGGGGGTGGTCTTTTTGGAACCGTGGCCGGCGGTCTCTGAGGGGGTTCCTTGTGGGGAGGCACTGCTGGTTTTGCAAGAGGCGATGAGCTCTCCTGGCCATGACCATTGATGTGTTTTGGTGGAAGTTTTGGCTCATTAGAATACTTACCGTTATTCAGAGGTGGGATGCTCACTGGAGGAGAGCTAGGGGGTGAACTTGTGTGGGAACTATTTACTGCTGGCGAGGCGTCATTCTGATGGTTCACCTCTGTTGAGCTAGCATCTGCCGGCTTAGATGGTCTCAACTTGCTTCTCAAGTTGGTGATGTCTACTTTGTTCTCCCCTGGGGGATCTGGCTTGGTAGCTGTAACAGGTTTAGGTCGGACCACTGGCTTTGCCTTCATAAACACAGCTGGGCCCGGTGCCTCGGTTTTCTCCTCCTGTGATTCTGGCTTGGGTTTTGGTGGCTGTTTAGGTACAGGTTTCAGATTAAACTTCTTCACCTCTTTGGCAGAGATCTTGTGGCCACATTCAAGACCCATCTCATTTCGAAGGTGAAGAGCTTTGCTCTTTTCATCTTTCTTGGTCTCTGGGGGTTTGTCTGATTTGAAGGGGGGAGGTTTAGGTGTAACCAGTGGCATGATGACCCCAGGAGCTGGGGGTTTTGGAGGCAAAGGTTTGGAGTTATCTGACCTTGATTTCTCTGCTACCTCCAATTCAAAGCTCTTATTAATAGACTCTCTTCGAGGCGGCAAAGCAGGTTTCTCCTCAGCGGGAGGTGCAGTTGGGGCTGGGGGCAAAGGCCCAGAGAAAGAGGGCCCCTTGCTGGCATTGGACTTCCAATCTCTGAGCTTAGGGCGCGTAGAGGACTCAGAGGCTGCATTTGGCTCATCTGGTAAAGGCTTGGACCAGTTGTCATCTGTACCTGAAACATTCGAACAACCACCATCCTCCAGCCTCAGCTTCTCCATCTCATTGGGCAACGGGGCGAGGAAATTGGGTCGCAGGGCATTGCTGGTCTTCTTGTACTTGTCAATAAAAGTGGCAGGTGCCCAGCCTTCTTTGTCATCGATCTGGATGTACCACCAACCACTTGCATTCTTTTCAATCACCTAGAATGTATCAATGTAGTTTAAACCAAATGTTAGTGAAAAACCATTTTTCTTAATTCAGAGGAGCAAAACTTTAGGCCGTGTCTAACCCACCTCAACTTTGACTCCAGCTTGGAAGCTGATACCATCAGGGATGGTGGTCTGAAAGTCTGCTATGGTGTAGAACTCTTCCTCAACTTGGGGAGGGACGGGTGGCTTGGGTAAGTTTGTACCACGTGGCTGTGGGATGTGAGAGGCACACATAAAGGTTGCACTGGTGAAAACCTTATTTATTTATTAAGCCACTGAAAGCTATCTTCAGATATACAGAATCACCACTGGGTATATTCTTACAATGGTGAGATCTCTGCGTGGAGGAGGTCTGTGTCTTGATCCCACTTCTGCAAAAAACAAAACAAAATCACACTAGTAGCTCGCAGCCCAACTGAAAACTAGCAATATGTGTTCTGGGAAATTGTTACACGTCTCCATTCAGGTTTTCTCCACTGGCACAATAAATATTTTGACTGTCATTAGGTAAAACTGTATTATTTGGCACATTGTTGCTTTGCCAGAAAAAAGGTTTTAGTCACTTGTGTGCAAGCTTTTCTTTGCAAAGCTTTTGCATGCTTTGGTTGCTTTAATATTTTAAAACTAAATCTCAGAGGCACTGTTTTGTTAAATTCACTTACTGATTTTGTTGTTCTCAGAGAAAACCGAGAGCCTGTTTTCCTTCTGGCTATTCTCTCGGTTTTCTCTAGCGGCGTTGTTTTGCTGGATTTGTTTAGAAAGCCCATCTAGGTCATTTGTACTGGCATGAGGAGGAGCGCCTGCTGACTGCTTCTGCATGTCAGCCTTCTTCAGGTAGGACGCTGGGGCCCAGCCCTCGCGGCCTTGGTACCTAAATGGAGGAGAGATGGACAGTTAGTGGCTGATATATAATGAACATAAAGCTGGACGAAAACAAAAAAATTGGACCTTCCTGCAGTCTGTACAGTAACATGCATTAGCATTTTCATTCCTATTGCCACCATTATCAACAATGTACTAAGAAGTATTTGAACATATTGCACTGTATTACAAAAATGTGGCTGTTGCTACCTGATCTTCCACCAGCCTTCCAAGTTCTTCTGAATAACCTCAACAATCATGCCTTTCTCCAGGTCGATCTCATCCTGGTCTCTGGCCGAGTACGGGTAAATCACTGAATACTTCTCTTCTGAACGTGGAAAAAGGAAATATTGTTACGTGTATCAGAACACGTTATCAGTTCACAGTTAGGGTGCCACAAATAAACGCATAATGTAGGCTGGGTACGTATAGCACATAATGACACACTTAAACTACAATGGCCTAAAGTATTTATCCCCAGAGAGCTGATTCTAGTCATCTGGATGCAGCGTTTTCAGTGGATGAAACATTTTGTCACTTAACCAAGTGACTGGAAAAGAGTCAACTGTCTGGGATTTCCATTACCTGGATCTGTTTGTTTTTTTTGTTTTTTTTTAACTTTTCTCAATGTGAAACTGAATCAAAGATGACAGTAAAAGTTACAGCATTTTAAAAAAATTAATTCAAGTAATAATGCAACCAGTCTAAAATAAAATAAAGCGTTCAAAAGGATTTAATAGGAGTGAATGCCATCTTTGTTATTCCCACTCGCCTCTAATGGCAGTACTGGCAGTCGACATAGGTTAATGGGTGTGATCTCCAAGTAAAAGTGTGTTGCCAGTGACACACTGCCAACAAAGCTGAAAGTGGAGCTTGTTGTGCCACTGCTAACGACTGGCACAACAAGCTCTAACTTCACATATTTACGCAGAAGCAAGCACTAGGTGGTTGGATGTTGAGCTGCCTTTTGAGACCAACTTTTTCCTCAACAGACTTTAAATTAAACCTTTTTAAGACTGAACACAGAAGGAAATGAGGAATTTTGCTTCTGACCAAAACTTCAAAAACACCAGACACAGACTATCATCCTTTTTTTCCCCCACAAAGTTGACAAAGATTCTTGTTAGGGCAAAAACGACAGGAACTTCTTTCTGATTAACAGAAACTGCTCAGCAATTTAATATTGAGATTTCAGATGAGATACTGTGGTTGCTATAGGCACACATTAGTTTTACCTGTTATAACTTATCTAGTGAGGCAAGGCTTGAGCAACATCTTGTGGAGTGAAAATGTAAGACACAAAAACGCACACACAGGACAAACTTGTTACAACATCAAACAAAGCCTTGTCTATTGTCAACATCATTTCTACTATTACATACTACACACTGAACAATCACGCGTTTATTAATGCTGGTTAAATTGTTCTAGTCGTTTATTTGATATATAAATAAATATATATTTTTATCATATATATTATTTATAACAAATACATTTATACACAAATATGCAGTTCACTGTGCATGCGAGGATTTATTTACATGCTGAGGTCACTCATGCAACATTTCTTCATGCGCACACATGGACAAACATGCACACAGTTTTATATGCGTGTGTGTGTACACACACACACACACACACGCATATATTCATTATAGGGGGAAAAGAAAGGCGTGCGCTCCACCTTGCCCAAAGCCTGTGCTGAATAGATCCCCTAAAGTTCTGCGACGACCCATATGCCTTGGCAGTGACCAGAATCTCCGTGGCACTGACATCCCAGCACAGTAATTGGGGCAAAATAGGAAGTGAACATTACAAATGCAATCTGGAGGATATTTTCATCCTAAAACACTTTCGGTATTGATGGATCTATGGGGAAATAATTGGTATTTTTATTTACTTGAACTGACAAATAGTTCCTTCATCTAATGGTTAATAGGGATCTCTGGGGTGTTTTAAAATTTTTCTTATTAATGTGGCATTTTAAATTGAATGCTGATTAGCATAATGCAGTTTGTTGATTTTGTTTGTTCTCTTACGGAATAAAATCTGTGAATGTTTGAATCAAACAAACTCTCCAGACTTTGATAGGGCAGCCAGCCACCTCATACATCTCAGGCTTTTAAGATCTATAATTTGCATATTGGCAGAGCACCCTATTTTGAGATCCTGTCATTTACTGTACAATATTCCTTTCTTTAGCATATCCTTACCAGGGCTTTGGCAATGAAATTGTAATTTTTTTCTACTGATCCTTTTGGATTTTCTTTTGCCAATTCTCTAGAATGCAAAACACACACAGTCAGAGTCTTAGCAGCAACAGTCTTCAACTCAATAAGCAAACCTATTTTGTCAGACTGACTTTTAACCATCAACAGAGTACTGAGTGAGTTACAGGAGTTAAACAGTGTGTAACAAAAGATGTGCCTCTGACGTGGTGTATTCTGCACTTCTGCACTGCACCCTAAACCTTTCCTTGTGGTAACATTGAATCTAAACAGTAGCACCCAAATGTAAAGCTTGATGTACCTTCTTCTCCTGGAAGACTGAAGTCATCAGGGTCATCCTGGGCCTCAAGGCAGGTGGCAGGGACCCAGCCCTGAGCATCTTCTGAACTCACAAACCACCACCCTAAACAGGCAGGAAAAACAAAACAAAACTGATATACAAGATACTGCACCGCATGCAATGCTTATTCAATTAAGGGATTATATGCGTCAGTAAAACGCACGACTGATATTTGACTTGTTGCTGGGATTGTTGCAAAGCACCACTATATGTTGCTTTTTTTTTAATATGCGTAACCTATAGTTTATGTGATGTACCGGTATTACAATTATTCTTTTATTATGCATTACTATTAATCTTCTTGGGCAGCGGTCCCCAACCCCCAGGCGTTGTTTGGTACGAGAGAGTTGAGGCTCGGGTGTGAAATTTATGGTTTTCGGGGTTTTTATCGTTATTTTTTTAATGTTTTTATCCTTAACTTGGCTTCCCTGGGTCTTTTCCTGTATGTTATGAATAAATCTTTTTTTGGAACCAGTACTGGTTTTATTTTGTTGTATTTATCCGTGATACCTTAAAAGCCAGTCCGTAAAAATAATGTCGGACATAAACCGGTCCGTGGCGCAAAAAAGGTTGGGGACCGCTGTTCTTGGGTGTACATGTTACCAGTGCGGATATTCCGATATTTGAATGACTATTTGTTTTAGTAATTTGATTAATTAATTTAAAAAGTTAATAAATAGCTATGATTTACAAAACAAGATGACATTACTGGCATACTCTGAGGTTTTTAAAATATATATTTTTTATTAATATATCAACTGCTATTTCTCTTGAGTATTTTTAGCAAACCTATTTAACTCAACCTTAATAGCTGGCAACAGACCAAGTCCAGCAGTAGCAACAATCCCACAAACCCCCATAATGTTTCAAGTAATTGCATAGTTCCACATCAACACTTAACGTAACAGGTTAGCTGAACAGTGAAAGCAGCAATCTGCCACAATGAAAACATCAGAGAAATGTACAGAATATATGTTCTAATTCTGTATGAAACTTGCCAGACTCATTTTTCTCAATGACCTCCACCACCTGCCCCACATGCAGGCTTATCTCAGAGCTCTCCTGCTTCTCATAGTCTGTTACTGCCACATACTGGTCGAGTACAAGAGGGTCTGCTGAGGAGGAGTCTCCTATTAAGGGAAGAATAAAAAAAAAAATCATAACAGAAGTTTAGCACATCTTCTTTGATCTTTCTTAGGGAAGTCACGAATGAAATCTCAATAATGCGAGAAAAGCCTCCACTCAATATCTTTTGTTCTTCGCTGAAGAGCTCTGTTCATATGTGCATAATATCAAAGGACTGTCCATGAACTTGGAATTATAAGATTGCATCAGTGTGGGTTTAAGGTATTGACCTTTAAAGGTTTTGCATTTCATTGACCAAATGTAATATGACCTTTTAAAATGTCAGACTTTATATGGGCTTTGAATAACTTCACTAAAACCCAATTTAAGCAGGCCTTTACAAAACAGCCAGAATTCAATTTTAGGCTAAGTGGGAGGAAAAAAAAACAACTGCCTTTTGATGAAATGCCAAGAATAATTCCAAGGTCGCAATTTGTGCAAAAGCTATTAAGTAAAAAGTTTTTTTGTTAGAGGGGGCTTATGTACATTACTGAGATTCCCTCAGAGTCCAGACGAGAGGCAGTGTACGTGATTGGAAAGGAGCGTGAGGGGAAACAACGAGCTGAGAGAGAAATAAAGGAAGATTTGGAGAATGGGAGTGAAGGGGATGGATTGAAAAGCGTAGATGGTTATTAATTTATTTCTCACCATGACTGTGACATGTCTATAGAAACAAACCAGCATCATTAAGACCCACCACCAATGTTAGCGCTACATCACTAAAAAAATAAAGTAACAAACGAGGGCTCACAATATAATCACTGTTAAAAAAATGTATAAATAAAAACTCTAACAACTCTGCTTTTTCTATTGACGTTTGTTGTGTAAAAATGCACACACTAAAACTTGGCTGACTGATAAAATGCACGATGAAGGGACATTAGCATCAATTGCAGCATGCTAATCACTGAAGGTGTTATCAAACACATTCTAAAGTAATGCGTTTATGGCACACAAAAAGTTCAGATTTAAAATAACAAAATAATAATAACATTAAGTATGTACAGTAATTACAAAATAGATTTTCTTGATCGGGCAGCTTAAAAATACGTTAACATTAGCCTCCTTCAGTGAGCAGCAGCTAGCTAAGAAAATAATCTGATTAAAGCCAAATTTAGTACTGCTTAATCTGCAATTTCTCCATTATGCTAGTTAAAGATTTGAATATTAGTAATGCAAATTTCTCTAAAGCAGAACTGGAGGAACAATAGCCATTTTTAACAAAAGCTATTTTCAACTATTCCCTTAGTCATTGTGTGTTTGAGTTCCACATTTTTTACTCCAGATGCCTTTCCAAACAAAACCTCAAACCTTTTTTTTTCCCTCCCAGGATCAAACCAAAGATCTCTGGCAAATTTGTAAATCACTACACTATGGCGCCACTAGTTAAACCAATTTAAGTCGGTTAGCGTAATTAGCTCACCTTAAACATAATATTTGATATATTTGAAACAGAGCCATATTTAAAAATGTAAATGACAAATTTATTAATTGTAATTTCTTAATTAATGACAATGGCATCCTGAAACATACTGGTATAAATTTTAAAGGATTCCTTTATAATATCAACTTCTTCAATCCTTTACATTTCAATGCATCTTTAAATCTAGTGATTAAAATATAATTTTTCTATTTCTAACTCCCTGATTCAATGTATTGCTGTTAGCATAACCAAGCTTACTATACAGGGTCATGCATTCATAGTAGAGCATAACTTTACTACCCTGTACCAACACAACATATATAAATAGAGCTGAGATATGACCCACACCAGTTCCAAAAATCAATCACCAACAATTTATCATTAACAGAACCAATGCAAGCCCCAAGCCTCAACAGAGCCACATCCCACCTGCCCAGGCCAGGGAAGGAGAGGGGGGACGGGCCACTAACGACCCACTGGGGTTACACACACAGCACGACCAAGCATGACAGTGTGTTTACTACCTCGCTTTAGGAAAGTAGTTGCTCTCTCCACAAACCCTGAGGGAAAGGAAAATGAATGGAGAAGAAAACTGAAAAAGATAACATGGATGCAAAATTAAGAATAAAAGATGAACTGAGGGGATACAGAGTATATTTAAAGAGGAACAGAGAAGGACAATGTTTGTTTCTTGGTTCAACAGTACTGTAACATCAGTATAGAAGGAATGTCTTCTAATAAAGTCATTGTTTTGGTTTGTTCAACCTGTGACCACTAGATGGAGATAACGTCCTATCATATGACACAGAGGTAATTACTGAAGACTTGCTTTTATTCCTTTCAATACATAGTTTATCAGAGGAAAGCCAAGATTCTCATGATTAACTAACCTACCTTTCATTTCAAATACACAATCAAAGCTATCTCACCTGATTTCTTCTTCCCAATGGGTTCCCTGTTAAAGAAAAGAAAACATTACATGACCACACCATACATACCAAAATGGAATGGAACCAGCATACTAATAATATTTAACATAATTCACAAACTCATGAAGGTCCCACTTAAATAACTTAAAAACAAACATCAACAGCAATAGAACAGCATCCCCAATTATTCATTTATACTTAATCTCACTATCATTTAACATGTGTACTGCTGGAGGAATTAAATACAAGAGAAAAAGAAAGGATCTTTACCCATCAGATCTACAAACTGTCACGCAGGAGAAAACAGATCCATGTCTGCAACGCAGGCTAATGTGAATAAAAAGCTTTGAGATAGCTGATCCCAAAAATCCGGGCTGATGTTAAATTCAATACAGCATCTGCTGTGTCTGGTTTAGACATTATCCAGATAAATAGACCATCACTCCACAGCAAGAGTCAGGAACTGATTCAATGGCCAGATGCCTCAAAAAGTCACTGGTGGCTAATGCTCAGCATTTGCTCTGTTTGTCCCTCATTATCTAAACGTCGCACCCTTACTTTATAGCCTACCAGTGCCTTCCTTTTTTCCATCTCACATCTTCCACGTCTGCTCAACCTACTGCTTTATCTCCCTTGATTGTTTTCCTTGGCAGCCACTCTGTGTCCATTTCTCTGCATCAACATCAATGCTCTCAGCCACATAAAGGATTATTGGATTGATAGAACTGTTAATTGCAGAGACCTCATCTCTGTGAATGTTTACCTCCAAGCTTGCCAATTAGGGTATTATAATAAGAAATACTCAGGGCGACCGACTAAATGGACTACAACAGATGAATCTGCGCGTGCACTGCATGTGTATACTTTGTTTTCATACAGAGAATAAAGGTGAAGAAGTTTTGAAACCTCAAACTAAACTTTACAGTAAACAACTGCTCACAGAAAATCGCTCCATCCCTCCCTGTGCCTAATCTTCTCTCTGGATTAGGTTATATGACGTCCTTTTTTTCTATAACGATCTTCCTTGCATTTTCTTTCCTTTTCCTTGCCTTCTTCTTGCAACACTTCCTCTTTTGTACTTCTTTCTTCCTTTTTACTCACTGACCATCTACTTCCTCTTTACAATTGAGTTCTCCTGTCCTCTCCTTTCCTCTCCTCTCTGCTGCTCTTAAGAAGAAAGTATAACATGTCTTACTCGTTGCAGTAGATTTATAGGCCATGATAAATCTTCTCCTACAGTTGCTGTACAGCAGCCTTGTTGTCAGTCAGCCAAGCAACAGGCTGCACTAGCAGAAAGCAGTAATCCAATTTCAATAAAGACAAACCAAGGTCCTTCCTATATTCATCTGCCTCAAGGAATCACATCTCCCTCTCTCTCTCTCTCTCTCCCCCATCTCTACTGATACATGCTTGGGGCTTTGTATGAGGAGTAGGGAAGTATGGGTCCTTGGCAACCTTCCCCGAGGTAAGAAAGGGGAAAAAAAAGATGTGGAGATGTGTGAGAACAAACAAGAGTGCGGACTGGGTGTCATAACTTATAAATATAGATTCATATTCCACCGACAGGCTTCGGAAACTTTTAGACACACTTTTTGTTTGGTATCAGCTTACAGTTGCCATGATCTGCTATCCTGATACCACCAATAGAGTGAAAAGTTTTCCAATATCAGAGAACACAAATGCAAACTCTTCATACAGAGGGGCTGCATGTGGAAAATAACACCCAAATCCTTGTGATAATTCCAGTTTTGGGAGAGATCTTTTCCCCCCACAAATTTACTTGAATTCACTATTTAAAGTAAGAGTAAGTACACACAAGTTAGGGCTGTTTTAAATTCCAGTTATTTAGCTAACGTTCATCACATTTTATACTGAAAGTGGCTCATCTTGTCAAAAGAGTGAAGTAAATATAATCAAGCAGTCTTCCTAAAGCCTGGCCCCAGTAAAGTACTTGACGGCAGCACACAGCAGACTTCAAAGGAAGATTAAATCTGTCCGCATTATATATGACAACATGGCAGGCTGTTGCAGGAGCTCATTTCACATTCAATCTTCATAACAGCTTCTTGTCCTGTTAATTGTCCTTGGGCGTGAACCCCCAGCTGCTCACTCAGTGCATGCCACTCCTGAATGGCATTATGGCATTTATAAAACATCAGGATGTGATAGGTTTATACATAAATATAGTCACGGGCCTTATCTAGTGGATTTCCTAACAGCTGACAACACACGTCAAGATGTTTCGACGGAGAGGACATGACTACGCTGCCTTTCTGCAGCTGCTAGCAAAATTAATTAATTAAATAAAACATCTCTAGGGTCTACGGTTTGGCTGAAGGCAGCCATCCATAACCCCTACAGCCCTAAATGTAAGCTTAATAACGACACAGTTGCGTTACTTTTAGTGCTGGATATTGCGCTAATGTGTTGAGAGTGAGATTATCAAGAAACTATGTGGACTCAGCTGTGTAGAGGCTGGTGTCCGCACTCCGCTCCAGCAAAAATGCAAGCTCAGCTTTAAAAACAGGACCTATTAAGTGTGTTTCTGCTAGAAAACCCCAACAGAAGGCTGAGCGGGAGTATGAAATCATATTCATTAGAGGGTATAATGAATGTTCATTACCAGCAGATCTCGCAGGACATGGCATACCATGAGCCAGTGGAACAATGATTTACCATTGTATACAAGAGGAAGGGTTTTTAATAGTTAAGGAGATATGTGAGGGTGTGTTTGGGTACATGTGTGCTTCTCACTCCTTGGGTGGGTTGAGGTCTTCAGGTCTGGTCTCAAAAAACACTCTGACCTCCTCGCACTGGGAGATGTAGACTGGCAGCTGAATGAGGGCCTGCGTGCACAAAGATTTCAGGAAACTTAAACACACAAACTGACACGCATAATCACTTCAGTGCACAGGGAGGTCAACCAGAGGATAAAAACGGTGTTCATTTGACCTGGCCTCAAGTTTTTATGTCTGTTCTCATACTTATTTTACCCTGCAACGCTTGGTTTCCAATAGAAAGAACAAAAGCTGTATTAAAAAAATCCCAAAATCGCAATCTTCCATTCTTTATTTTTTGGTAAAATCTTTATTCCTCTTTTTAGGATCACCGGCAGCAGAGAGATGAGTCCTGACAACAGATAAAAGACAAACATCCACATTCAGTTTTCTTTATTAGTCATTACTCATGCGCAGCTATTCATTTTTTTATCTGGCTGTTTTCCACTTGCTCTCAATCAACCCTCTAAAGGGGGAGCAGGAGAACAAATAATCACCTCACCAGCTTGATGTGGCAAACCAGAAGAAAAAAAACAACTCCCATCAATGACCTTGTGGAGACTATCCCTCTTAGCTATGAAGAAAATATGCAACTCCTCCATTTGCTGGCAAGATCAGCTCAGTGCTACCCATCAAGATTCCTCTTCTGGTCTCTACCTCTAATTTTAATACTCCTAAGTGTTTCAGCTTTGTCCTTCCAGGAAGCACAGCCTAGCTCCTGGACTCTCTGACACGTGCTGATGTAACGTCAGGACTGACGGATGTGGAATGGAAGCCAAAGACGTAACCAGAGTGTCCTTGTCCCATGCACTATGTTTTCCTTGTCATATGTAGGACTATGGGTCCAGCAGCTTGTGTTAAAGAAAAGATGAGATTTGTGTCCTCATTCCTGTTTGCTGATTCATGGTAAATATTAGGCTTCAAAACTATTAGGCTTCAAAAAAAAAATCTTGTGTTGTTAAGACTTTCAGAGGACCCACACAACGTTTAGTCATGCAGCCCAGGATGTTGAGCCGTAACTGAGGTCAGAGTGCAAAATCTCTGCCTGCTGCAGAGGATGCAATCCTTAGATTTATTTCCATCCACGTGTGAGCATGTGGCTTGACCGCTCATTACAATTCTCCCCAGGGAGGAGACAAGAGGGAGGCTCAGGGTACATTACGGCAAATGGACTTTATGGGTGTTCTTTATAGAAGGCAGCATTAAGGTAATTGCACGTGTGTGTGTGTGTCTGTGTGTGTGTTTGTGTGTATTCTCCAAGGAAAAATATATAATGGAAATGCAAGACCAACCTCTCAGAAGGTACAATACACTGTGGCAGTGTGGGTCAGTGTATAGTATCCTCTCACATGTACATACATATAGTGAATGTTTAATTAGAATAAAGGGCATCTTAGCCATATATTAAAAAAAAAATCTTGATGCTCATGTTATCTGCATAAGTGATTTTTGTACTGTTCCACAGTATAAGCGAGGTCTAAATAAATCTCTAAAGAGAGTTTTTATGTGATTGTTTTTTATCAGCTATTTGACCTTCCCAGTGATCTCTTTTTTTCTGTTTTTTTAATCCAAACTTTCATCCAACTTTGCTTCCCAATATGAAAAACAAGGTTTCATAACCAGGGAAATTTGAAATGAGTCAGTACAAAGCCTCAGCTGTACAACAGAAGAGATGACTCAGCTCTTCTGTAAGAACAACAAAGTTGTACCTTGTCAGTCTGACTACATGTGGGGGTGGATGAAATGCCATTTTTGATCCTCCAGTAAAGTTTTGACTTGTTTTTACCGCTACTGCGATAACTTCTTCGCTGGCAGTGCTTAGCTCTGACATGTATGATACTGCCAAAGGACTGATGGATGTTTTAAATCACTAACAAATGTGTTGGACACAGATACCATATTGCTTGAATTTAAAAGCAATATGGTAAAGGGACTGACTCTTATTTAGTGCTTTTCACTGCAAGTCAGTGTTGCTAACATTCACACTCTGATGAACGCATCAAGAGCAATTACCCAAGGACCCTTTGGGCATGCAGACTGGAGCAGCTGGGGATTGGACCATCAACCTTCCAGTTAGTAGATGCCCTTCTCTACCTCCTGAGCCACAGTCACTCCTGGACCACATTAAGTCTCACTCTGCTTCCCTTCTGTCTTTAAACATAACTTTAGCAAAGCTTATACGCACTGAAACTTTTTAAAGGCAGGCATCCTTAAACCAATAATGCTAAGCAGCTATATTTTATGGCTTTTCATACATTTACACAACTTCAAATTTGACTGTAGCAATTCCACTGAAATTGTCTCAGCCGTTCCCATAAAACACCCACACCCTCAGACATGAACCAGCAACTCTACCCTTTCCTCCCCTACCTTTATTGTTCACATAAGTGGTTAAAGATGTTGCCTACCAGCTGCACATTCCTTTAACCCCTGATGACACAGAGCCCCTTCGGTCCTCTGCATTGTTCATCATACATAAAAGCTTTACTCTCAGGCCTGAAGAATTGCCGTTTTTACTGGTGAAGAAGTGACCAGTCAGTTCCACCTTAGGAAGCAATTTTTTTTTCCGTAATGGTTTCACAAGGGTCTTGATGGAGTAAGAGAAGTAAAGCAATTAAAATATAAGGCAGCTGAAAATCGTAAAAGCGCGAGTAGAGGCTAAGTCAGAAGCAAAGTTTCCTTCGTAGAGAGAGACATAAGGAAATGTTTGTGCATGTTTTAAAGCCCCAAGTCACGCCTGTAAAATTTAACAAAAACATAGCCCGTGGTTGTGTGGATATGCTGACTGGAGCTAGCTCAGCAACGGGAAAATGCTTTGCCTGTGGCAACCACCACAACTCCAGAAGATATCTGCCTTGTAGATATGTATCCATAAAAAAGCACCTCACTGAGAAAGATGAAAATCTTTAAACTGCTATTCGACTTTACTTCAGAGGCTAAAAAGATGAGCATCAATCATGATTATTTTATATAGGCTGTGGTGGTTGAGTTCCTGTTGAAATGAAGCAATTACTTGCTAGCTGTTGGCAGTTATACGGTTTAACCTCATCTGCAGTGGAGCTTGAGAATGTAGAGTTGCATGATTTTCCTTTTCTTGAGGTTAAGTGAATAATAATCTCTCTGGTAAAAAGCAATGTAATGGGTTGGACAAGGCACAAGTTTTGCATCATCCTTTTTTTCACTTATGGAATGAGCTGCGGTATTTCAAAATGACAAAACAGACACCACACACACACACACACACACACACACACTGACAAACACACACACACACACACACACACACACACACACACACACACACATACATTACAGCATGCTTGCACCCTGGCAACATTCATCAATTGTCTTGCTCTAGGGGGTCATAAGGCCTACATTTTGTGTGGTGTAATGACATTCTCTTCTCATTTAGCTACATAGAAACTTTTTTCCCCCCTTATACACATCTATCCCTTGAGAAAAATTCTCCTTTGGCGTGTTTCTTTTTGCAGGAAGGTCAGAGTCTACAACAGAGCACCTGGGGACCTTTTAGAACACATCGGCAGAGTGGATGCCTGCGTTCACAAAGACTTGCTCCGGGATGTTTAGCATGCCACACACCGCACAGTGCCAATTTAGATCGCAAGGGCAGCAGCATTATTCATAAAGCTGCAACAAAGTGAACGTATAAATCTTTCTGTTATGCAAATGCTGTAGTTTGACTACAAGCTTGACTTTACTTAATATAAGCATGTGTTTGGACGACTAAAAATGGGCCTGAATGTGATGGGAAAAAAACGGGGGGCGAAAAAAAACACAGCTAGCTGTGATGTAATGTACACAGATTGTGGTTTCTTTTCTCTTGACAAATGCATTTTATAACATATATATATATGTTGATGCTTAGCAATAAGTAGAGAATTGCATAACGAATACTCACCCTGCAGTATTCATTAATAGGTCTTAGCCTTTTCATTGCCACATCCCTGATGTGGCTCCTCCTAAACAGAATCTTTCCTGGAACAAACAAGGAAAATCAGATTTAGGAACTTAAATACTGCAACCTACCTTTACATATGTCAAGTTAACATGTGCATATACCTTAGAAAAAAAACAATAATTCTAATCTTTTCCACAGCAAGTTTTCATATAAAATACACAAAAGCTATATTGAAAAACGAAACAAACAAAAAAAAAAAAACCCACCCAAACAAAACCTTGATTGATTTCTTTAAGTAGTGACTTAAAAGAAAAACTTGCAGGTAGACTGAAGGACAGTGAAAACCGTGGCTTTTTCCAAAATGTAGTTAGTGAATTAGCATGCAGACACAACACAGTCGCATCATCAATAACAGTGACAGCACAATGAGGAGGCTAAGGAGGTGGGTGAATAGCTGGCCTTTCCAAGTTAATAAATGATTTAGGACAGGCAAAGAGTGCCCGTTTGACAGTTTAAACACTGCTCCCTTATTCTTATCGCTAGGCAAGCATTACCACAGGCACGGGCAAGCTAGTTCACCATAACAATAACAAGAAAGGGCTACAAATAGCCCTCTTTTCTATTCAAAGGCATGTGAAAAACTTAAGAGTGAATATTTTCTTTGTTCTCATTTGGCAATAGACACACTGAGACATATTAATTAAAAAATACAGTATAGCAGGGCAAAAGGTTGTGTATGTAATGAGATCCTAAATGCAGGTGACAGATTACAATATTACCGCCATCAAGGAGTCCTGGTGTTTGCTTTTGAAACAGACTTGCTGACACATCATCCATCCATCCATATATAAAAGCTCTATTGTTACAAAAAAAGTGGCTGCTTCTTTAACCCACGCAGCTTAAAACTGTTTATGCTAATACTTTTCTCTTTGTTCTGTGAATCTGAAGCATTCAAGAAAAGAAGCAATCATGAAAGGAAGGGCCAAGGTGAGACAGAAGTATAAAAGGTTGTACAAGTGTATACTGCTGACTGGAGTAGATATTTGTGGTGACTTCACACCAAAAAAAAGTAGATCTTGCATATTTTACAGAAAACTACCAACACCCAACGTTCAAAGAAACAACCTCCACACCCTACCCAGCTATCCCTGCTCTCACTACAACCTACAAGCTGACTCAGGTGGTAGACAAAACAAATGGGAAACCCCCCCCAGGATATTGTATAAATAACACAATAAAAGGAAGCTCAAAAGTAAGACAGTGAAGCTTACTATAATATAAAAAAATAAATAAAAAAAAACAACCTGCGGATGATGTCAGTTAAAAGGAAAATTGATTTGTGTGGATATTAATTTAACCATCAGGGAATAATAAGTAAAGGGGGGTTCGTCTGATTGTTGGGGTTTTCTCTGTATGATTGTAGGCTCTTTACTTTAACTTTACCTTACAATTTAAAGCGTCTTTAGGCGACTGTTGTTGTGATTTGGTATGATTACCAGATGTGTCCTTGGGCAAGACACTTCACCTGTTGCCTACTGGTGGTGGTCAGAGGGCCCGGTGGCGCCAGTGTCCGGCAGCCTCGCCTCTGTCAGTGAATTTGAATTTCATTGAAAATTGGTTGTCCAACAGTTTCTTGTTCATAACAGGCTTGAGTCGTGGTGGTTCCTCAGTTGTTCTGAAACATCCCAACCAATTTCCTCTCATCAGAGACAGCCTGGGTCTCCTTCCCAACCCTGGCAAAGTGGTAATACTGTATATCCAAATACCTTGTATTTATGTATATTGTTTGAATGATTTGACTCCTCATCTTGGAATCCGCAGTTGTTTAGAACTTTCCAATTTCTTCTTAGATCTTCACAGAGTTCCTTGGACTTTCCCCATTGTAGTGAGCATTGGTCAATCCAATGAGTGCCAAACAAATCCTTTTTATGTTGGCATAGACAAGCTACAAGCTATAGTCAGTCAAGATCACTAACAATTAGTTGATCTAGTCAAGTTAAAAGACATTGTAGAATAGTACCACTTTTTAAAAAGATTTAAGTGAATGTATGTATATATTTGAGCATATACGTTTCTTTCTGACCCTGTGTGGATTAGAGAAAGTCCAAAATAAACACAAGCTTGTCCACCCAATTTTTGTTGTAAAATCATTCCACTCTGAAGAAAGAACAGTTCAGAGAATTCATTAAAAATCCTAAATTTGTCACGACATTCATGCCCATGAGGACAGTATGGAAGCTGTACATAATTAATAGATAGCCACAGCATAGTAACTTTGGCAATTTTTTTGCTGTAATGCCAACGGTCAGTTGTAAGTTTTAGTCTACATTAAAAATGGTGTGTTCATCTCTCTCGGTGAATCCCACAGGTTCAGTGTTTGGGCAGAGTTTAAAAATGTGTACAATAAGCAATGCATCCATAATGGTTTTTACCAAGGCTGTTAACTATTATGCTACTACTGTTTCCCATACTGCAGATAAATGCATTGCAACAATAAATAAAGATATGAAATCTAGTGTCAACGAGCGTGGTCTGATTAACAGTAGACTTTAATATTTTACCACACTGCAAAGGACAACAAGATCATACTACATAAGGGAGACTGTTACAAATGAGATTAACTAGAAGAAGAATTAGAGAAGACATTCCGAATCTCTATGGCATTGGCAAGCTCTTGCCAGAGCAGTCGAGGGGACGCTGTCGGGACAGCGCTGAAAAACTAAAGAGATTTGAAAGTCAACCCTCAGACACACTTCTCCTTCTCTATTTCTGTCTCTTTCTTCCTCTCCTCCCCTCATCACTCCTCAAGAAGAAAGTGTTCTTGAAGGTTTTCCAAAGCTCTCTGGGGTCAGGAGAGAAGCACTGACTCAACACTGCCTACTTTGTATGCACGGCAGCTCATGGATGCAGCCGATGAAAAGGGCTTATTTGGGCAGGGTGGAATGCTGCTACCCTGGAGCCATGGCTGAGGCACGGTGGACATTTTGGCAAATCTCAGAGTCAGTAGTGACCAAAAGTATCAAACAGCTTTTGTTTCCTGGGAAAACTGAGCAAACTAGATGGAGAAAAAAGGCAGGCTAAGATGGCCATACATAGAGAGGTTATTGTTACCTCACCCAAAGAAAGCTGTTCTCAGAATCCCTCACATCTTAATGACTACATTCACCAACCCAATTAGCCTTTTTGGGGAGATTTTGAGCTGCTTATACTTTCACAAAACACAAAAGGACTTGGGATCTTGTGACAAAACTGTGTACTCGAGATCGTATTCGGATTTTACTTGACACGTGCATATACCGGTATTCAGTCGGGACTTAGTAAAAATAGGGTCGGTCTTGAGGAAAAAATAAATTAAGTAAGCAGCAAAAAGGCATATATTTTTAATTTTTTAAAAATAAATACTATTCTCTACCTATGCACACCAACGGCGTGAAAGAAAATGTTCTAAATCCACGTGTTTTCATACTACATGGAAATTTTCTGGACTTTGCTTGGACATGGCTTATATCACTTTAGTTGCTAAGAAAACTGAGGATATTTCTGTGACTTATTTTTGTTTTGTAATTAAATCGGGCTTGTACAAAATGACTTGGCCACTAAGGTTTTAAATAACACAACGTCTAGGCGTGTACGGAGTATAAGAAGAAATACTGATTTGCGCCTATGTTGTAATTACTACACAGGTGCACATTCCTCCACAGGTGTGTTACTGGTGGAAGAGGAGGACAGAGACAAAGTGGTGAATGTTCTATGAATCAGACGTAAGCCAAAACTTTTCAGCCATTTTGCGCTTCTTCGCATTTCACAGCATACTTAGGAGGAAATGTGAGTTACTCGGCTCCAGAGTTGTATGTGACCTGTGCAGCATGCAGCACCTCCTGCCATGTCAGGCAGATAGCTCCTCAGGCAACAGAGTGCACAGAGAATACAAAACATAGAAAAGAATGTTTTCGAAAGGACTCTATGCAGTTCTGTGAAAAACTATGTCCATATTCAGTAGCTTGAATTAGCAGACCCACAATTTATCTTAACTTTTTAAAAGCCAACCTGACTCTGAATGGTGGGATTAACACATCAAATGTATCATTTTATCTTTATGTCATTTATGAATCAATCTACAAAACCAAGATGGCTCCATCTATCTAAAGATAAAGAGTTGACTTCGTAAATGAAAAATACATAAAGTTATGTATTTATTGGACTTCTAACATATTCCTTCCAAAGGCCAAAATCTGACCTCAGAGTAAAAATGCTGTCAATGCTTGTCAAAGAGAAGAAAGCACAAGTTCTACAGTGTGTACTCTTACTGACAAACCACTTTGCTGATGCAGAGATACCAAGGAGTAAAAACAACTTGGGGCCTTGAACAAACCAAACCAGAAAGGGAAAACCACTTCCGTACCTTGTGAGATTGGCCCCCGTCTTTTTTCCAGACTTTTGCTTTGTAAGTGAATGTTTTAGGGTTTATTTCCCCTTGGCTGTCAATGAATACTGTGCAGTTGAGAAGACTGTTTGCTTGGGATCCCTCTCAGACAGAGGTCTGATCTGATGCTAGTAATGGGCCTTCATTTGAATCTCCATGTATTCAGCCACTCAGGATAAAAACCTTCATATAGCATGCAAACAGCTTCACAGCAGCATTCCTAGAGGACGTCCCATGCAAATGTCCATGAGTCCAATCAGACCTTTACTTGTGGTGCCTTAGCAGCACCAAAGAAGCAGCACTTTAGTGCCATCCTCAGTGGCACTAAATTTATTCAGGCAATAAAAACAGGAAGCACACGCTCAGAGTTCAATGTAGATGTTTAATGCATCAGTATGCAGTGCTTAGATGTAAAAAGGATGGTATGAAAAGCAATCTTTAAAAAAAAAAAAAAATCTCCCTCTCCTTTCTTTCCTACTTAGATTTCATCAAACGGGGTGAATGCGTGTGTGTTTTTGTATGAGCATTCTCTCAATGAGTTCCAGACTTGCATGGGCATTTAAAGAAAAGAAAAAAAAACCCTAACCCCCACACATCCCAAGCCTGGTGGGGGAGATGTGGGTGGGGTTGACATTAAGGATTTTCTTCCTTTCATAAAGGATTACTTTCAGCAGGATCTCAAAAGTTGGTCAAGTACACCCAAAGCCCCCTTTTCAAAACAAACTTTGTTGCCATTTGTATTTGAGGAAAAAAAAAATAGTGAAAACTGAAAAGAAGATATTTTAGCCAGTTCTCTCAATGATGATTCAGCCAGGAGAATGATGGAGCTGAGTTGGGATTATCATAATGAATATGGAGTATAACATTCAGATTTCTGTTAAAAATACATGCAACACTGGCAAATAGTCTGTTTCTCTAAAAGGCTCCAGCACTGATTCACATAGATGGTATAATGTGTCTTTAGGCCATTTGCTGAGATAATGTGGTTTAGTCCAATGCTTAAAAAGTACATGCATTAAAATATTCTTGCTTAGTGGCAGAAACAATATGCTTATGCCCAACACCTTTGCTTCAGGTTGTTCTAGTTGGTTTCTAAGCGCACGTGTAAAAGATTAACTCGGCTTTCCTCCAGTTCATTTAAAGGTCATCATCAGTAAGTCATTGCCGCCCAGTGTGTTTGGTTGAAGGATCAAAGGGAGCACACATAATACAAGGACGTGACACTGCAGCAAGGACACGACACAGGAGTTCAAAAACCTTTCCGTATTATAAGCACATGAGCTGTGGTTAAATCGCTCTGTGTGAATCAGCCCTTAAAAATCTAAACTTTGTTGATTTAATTCTGGCCGATTTATCCCTCAATCACTTTATGGACATCTCATTCTGTGCCTTTGCACTTTTACCTCTGTGTTGCATGCTGAATCTCCGTCAGTATGTCAAGACAGCGATCCTTAAATGTGATTTTGATTTTATGGAGAAAGTGACAGGGAAGCAAATCTGGTTGAGTAGGGCCGGTAGGAACTGACACAGGTTTGCGTGACCAGACTCGTCAGGACATAAATGGAAAACTAATGGACTAAGGACGCCTCGGGACATTGAAGTAGAGCTCGACACCTTCAGCTTTACACAAAGGGACAAATTCACGCTGCACAACCAGTGAATGTCAAACAAAATGATGAGCATGACCCTGGTTTCCTGATACACTGTGGTTTGGGAAACGTGGGCCTTTCAACTGAAAACTGCTGAATGAAAGTAAATTTTTGCTGTCTGCACACATTTGAGGTCCATGACGAAGTCACAGAGCACCCAAAATAAGTGGTCATGATGGGATTTTCAGGAAGGACTCTAAAAATAGCACTAGAAGTGGATCACAAGGCCTTCAGAAGACAGCCTTGAAGGGAAGATTAGACAAATTTAAATCAGGTAAGTTTAATTGGGATGGCCTGTAAAAATGGTGTATTCTCCATTTATTCCTAATAATGCCCAGTTATGTGCCACTTCTTTTTTTTCTGTGATTGGTCGTTGAGGGACTGTGTGTTCAACTCTTACCTGGCAGGAATGGAATGATCCGGCGCTTAGGGTCTTTCTGGCCTCCCTCCACTGGGAATTTGTCCAGCAATTCCATCTGAAATGCGATGATTAATCAAAGTTATTAGCATGTAAGGTTTTTACATTCTCACACACGCAGGATACATACACAGGACAGCTGAGGGTGGTTAAGAGAAACTGATGATTTTTTTTTTTTAACAAATCAGCAGTTCCAACAAGGAATTTGGCCAATAAATGCAGATCTGCCAATAATTATAAATGTACTGAGCAGATGGTATGGTTTTCCCCCCTCTACTTCACATGTTGCTGTAGCTGTAGCTAAGGAGCACCACCGCTGACATAGTGGAACATTTCCTTTGCCATGATTTTTAAAAGGCTAGAAAGCAGTGGCAGCGAAGAAGTTCAACAGTCTTATATTTACCTTACTGAAACTCAGCCTATTCTTATAGCTTTTTTTTCTCCTTAAGTTAAAACCTGAAATCACAAGAAGGTCAATCCAAAAACTGGTTCATAAAATACAAGCTTAATTACAAAGCAAAATACTGTGCTACAGCAATTTAACTAATTTACTCAATAAAGCTAAATCTGTATTTTATATGATGAAAACGAATAAAAGGAACCAAAAAATGATCCCTTTCATCTACAAAAGCAGGAATAGTAAGAGAACATGAGTCAAGCAAGTTACTGGAGTTCCGTACTTTCTTGAAATACATCACAAGACAAATAGTCAGATGCTTAGTCGGTGAATCAGTACCACCTTGAGTAGGATTGTATAAACAAAAAGATGGCCTGACATAGACAAAAGAGACAGAGTGAGGGAAGGAGACAGAGAAACAGAGAGGAGCCAGTACCCCACACACTGTAATTGTTCCCATGTGTCTGACTGCGAGTGCAGACACACCCCAGTCCCTGTGTCTACTCTAAGACTTGTATCTGCTCTGTAATCAGAGGCAGTCAAACAAGAAAAGGCATATGGAGCGAGTAAAGTCATCTCTTCAACATACCATTTACATCATGCACTCAACATCAAATATCCATCCTCGACAGGGGTGAGGATGACAGGCTAAGGCAGAGGAGAGGAAAGCTGCATATGGTTTTAACTTTCTAAAATGTGGTTTTTTCAGTTATGTGCTATGGAGTTTATCTCAGTCATGTGTTAGTACTGTATAGATAGACATATGCAAGTCCAAAATTCTACATTAAGCACTTTATTTCTGTGCCTGTTCCACTGCACTCGGAATACAATGAATATATTCATTTATTTACTTAAAAGTTCATTTCAAAATCTAAAATACCCCCAACCAAATCTATGTGCTTCTTCACCTGATAAAAAGTGTTTAGAAAATATTATGATTCTCCACAATTTAAGGAAAAATCCTGCAAACATTCTGTCAGGAAACTCTTTAATGGAAACACTGAATACAGTTTGACTCTCTTGGTCTACACTTTGACTCCAAACAACATATCTTACGTTCATTTTGGTACAGATTAGAAATATTTCCAAGGTCAGACCAATACAATGACATACTTGAACATCCTATCCATAACCCCGCACCATTTTCTCCTGTTTGCTGATTATTGCCACTCACTGCATACGTGCCTAACTGATGTATTTAACGGATTTCAGTTAAATGGAGCCAGCAAGACAGAGAACGCATTACTCCAGTCCTAGCAGAATTACACTGCCGTCCCATTCACAACACAGACGCATTTAAGTTTTTATTGATTACTTGTAAATCATTAGATGAAATGGCCCCACTTTGTAGCTCCAAAGTCTTAATGCCTTATTCTGCACCCGAACCCCTCAGATCAGACAATCATGCCAATATATCTTGCAAGATCCAGACCACTGTGTAACAGGCTTCCTCTTAAGCTATTAAATCAGACTCCCTGTTAATAATAATAATAATATTAATAGTAAACTAACACACCAGTAACGGCTGCAAGCATCACAAGTGCTCTGAGGTCTCAGTTGAACAGAACTCTACATTGTCTACATGCTACATTCCCAGGCTATTATGATCCTGCAATCTTTTAAACACTGTTATTTCATCCAGCATTTGCTTGCAGATTTACAGTCACATAATGTTTCAAGGGACTGTAATTTGTCTTGTCTATGTCCCTTTAAACCACATCACCAGTATTTAATCAAAAACCAAATAAAGACCTAAGAAGCTCCAGACTGTTGAGCATGAAAAAGGTCCATGAACAATTGTTGCTCTCTTTGCCTGTCTCAATAGTCCTGACATTCTCTGACTCAGTCCACTGCATAATTAAGCCTGAAACCATTTTTTAACCCTTTGTGGGGAAACTGTTCTCATGGCAACATACTGTTACCATTCACATTTGTGGAGTTCTTTAACCTGTTGGTGTTTTTTTAAGTATTTAAGTTAACCACGGTATTATGCTATAGTAATTAGCTCTAACACTGACTAATTAATACTAAGTAATTAGAGGAAAGCATATTAACACAGTAACTTGGCAAATGAAGAATGAAGAATCCCAACGGATAGACACTTGTTCTCTAATGCAGAAAAAGATGCTTGGGGTAATGACTATGCGGTAACTATGTGTGATGGCTTAGTTTACCCAGCAGACCTGCTCTGGCTACTGTTAGCACTCTCAGCCATAAGCAATATAAAGGATGATTGTAACTTCTGCTTCCTATCACTTGACTGACTCAATGAACATGCAGCTTCACATTCAGATCCTCGTCTTGCTTGTCAAAAACATCAAGATGGCAATGGGCAAAATAGAAGGTATGTGCAGTATCAATGCAATGCTCACCATGATGTGTCTCATTTAAAAAAAAAAAATATTATAACAAATTTCAGATAATGCCTTATAAACATTCATAATTTACAGCAATACCAATTTTCAGAGGCTCTGTTGGTTTCTGATCCCTCAGTTTCTCGAATGCATAAAGTGAAAACATGCACGACATGGGAAAAATAAATGGTTTCAATTGTGCTCGTCATCTCTTCAGCAGTTAACAATAGGCCATTTTTCAAAAATGAGTAATCCTGAACAAAGATAGTGATTTCGCAGACAACAACATGGACAAGAAGCCAGGGGTGAAAGTTCAGAGTAGAGCTCCCATTTCAAAGCTTCACTTTCTGGAGATCTGTGCCATGCTGCTAAAGAAACCTCTCCTATTCTCAAGAATGATGAATCTGCACAAGAACATAATGAAGCTAACAAATATGATAACATTTGGTATAGCTTTGTTAGCATTCATTTAGCTGAATCCCGGAAGATTATATAGACTATATACATGAAAACTGTCTATTTTCATCTACCCAAGATAATCCTGATACACTCAGTTCAGCATTTTTATGAAACTTTTCTTCTTTCGTTTTAGCCATCTCATTCCCTCAGGTCATCAGTTTACTTCTTTCAAATGAACTGTTGAGGACATTAAAAATATCGCCATAGTTACAGTACACAGAAATGATCACATTGTTGCTGCTTTGTGAAATGACCGCAAGAGGCAACTTCATATTACAAAGTCAAATAATCTGCCCTCCCCCCCCCAACCCCCGTTTCAAGAAGCTGAGTTTATTACTGCAGATGGAAAATATGTGACAGCTGTGCAACTCTGAATAAGCAAATAATGTTTTCTTTTTCTTCCCCCCTTAAGCTTTAAAGTAGAAATATATCCACTATCCAAGGCGAGCGGGAATGCAGGAAGCCTGTAGAGCTCGATGGACACGTGTGCAGAATGGAAACTGTTCTTTGTGACATGGAAGCAAACTGAAAAGCTGCTAGGATGAATGCACTGAGAAAAAAAAAAAAAGAGAGAGAGAAACTAGAAGCCACCATGGGATGGGCTCACACCAGGCCCAGTGCCCCCACCCCCACTGATCATGAGCTCAGCTGCAGATGTGTCATGTTTCAAGATTGTGTCTTGTATGGCTGTGACACTATCATGTTGACAAAAACGTATCCACAGACAGACAAAAAAGCCCCTAAACTGTATTGTGTATCCAGGATGATATTTTCCACAAAGACACACACAGACACACTAACTGACAAAGATCAAGACAGTACACTCTAAGTGATGTTTTGCTTAATGTTTTGTTTAATGCTAAAACATAATAACTGTTATTATCTGTACATTTTCAAATGTAATGTTTTACAAAAAGCGGAGAAACAAGCGTAAAGCACATTGTTATTTATGATTAAGATGCGTTATAAGTTCTTTACTTGCATTCCCGAACACAAACATTAAGTTTCGTGGTTGAATGTTAAGCTTCTTACAATTGGACTGAATTTAGGTCAATTCATGATTTTAAATAGAATAAACAGAATTTTTAGTTTTAAAACATGTTTTTGACGTTTCTGGCCTTCCTCTCACTTCTGGAACAACTGCCAACTACTAACTTTTGGAACAACTTTACCCTCTTGTTTTTCTGAGGAAAAAAAATCTCAAAAACAGCACAAGTGCCTTTCTCTCCTGTCGGAGGCACACCTCTGTCTGTTCAGTGAGTAACTGTTTGCACATGCTCAGTGTTTGTTACCCAGACAGAGGATGTTTACTGTATGTGGAAAAAAAAAGGCTTTCTGTGGCTTCTAATTTTCTCTGAGTAACAATTTTCAATGTAAATATAGCTTAAGTCACAGCCCAGCTGATGTTTTTAAACTGTGAGTATGATGAATCTGTCTGATGAGAACACGGTTAAAAATCTATTAAAAAAAGCTGTTAATTAAACAGAAAAATTCTCCATTTCTAGATGGTGCAAAAAAAAAAAGTAGCAGAAATATCCTCAGTGACAAGAACATCTGGCTCTTGCTCAGCTATTCTCTTCCTTAGAGAAATGAGCTATTGATCTGTCAGATCAAAGATAGAATGCCAGGAACAAGAAATACTTGCTATTTTGTTACTGCTGCATGGTTAATCCTAAGATTTGTTCTTTATTTTCAATATGTAAATAACAGCCTTGCTATTGTTGATTTTGCGCATGCATCAAAAGACTTACATTTATAATAGAGAAAACTGCTTTTATATCTTGTTTCAGCCCTTAGTGAAGCAAAGTCAACAAAGCCTGTGCCAGCCACACAAAAAGCACATGCTGCTGTGTTTGCAGAAAGAGAATCAGCTGCTTAGGGCAGTTATGTTGACAGGATGTGGTGACTAGCACTTCCTGCATAACACTAAGGCTGTGGAATGACCAGAGATGTATTAATATCTGCATTACAAGACAAGCCAAAGCCACATAATGAAAGACATTATGAAGGAACCTGTTAGACAGATTACAGAAAAATGATAACATAATATAAAAATATATCAGACATATGGGGGATGTATCAGTGTGCTAGTGATCGGAATAAGCCAGCTGATTAGCCACAACTGGTCACTGGATATATTCAATTTCAAGGAAATCTAATTAACATGTCCTGCAGCTTGACATGCACCTCTCCAGCTATGCAACATGACGCTGCAATGCAGACAACAGCTAGTGTGATTGCTTTAGTTGATACAAATACACCGACACCGTGTGATCATGGAAATCAATATAAAGCATACTAATACCCACAGAGACCTTCCTTCCTTAAAACACAATGCATGTTAATATGTGATGGGCTGGGACTGATTGGCTTCCTAATGTTGCTAATGCTGACACTTGCACAGCAGTGAGTAATCTGCTGGGGCAACCATCTGCTGTTTTCATAGCACTGCCACCGTGTATAAACCCAGCTTGTTCCAAATCTGCTCTCTTTTTGTGTTATAGTAATTTCAGCTATTCGACTTCAACAAGGTTAGCTTAGTCAGCATTGTAACACTGAGTATTACTCTAAGATACTCCACACAGCATCCCAATAATACCACCACCAACTAGTGTTTTGGGGGTGTAATTAAAGAGTAATGCAATTATAACAGATGGTAGAGAAATTGAAATATTCTGCAGCTCATTTTTCTTTTTCTTTTGAATTTTATTTGTATAAAAAAAACTGTCAGCCCAATAAAATGGAGCATGACAGCAGGTCATGTAACCTGATGCAGCTGTGGACAAAATGTACAGTTTAAACTTGGTCAAAGAAAACTTGGAATAAATGCTGCATGGTGACTTTAAAAAGCTGGAATCACCCATTGCAGTTGCACTTGGTGCCTCTTTATTTGCATATAAAACTTATAGTGACACTGATGATATTCAGAGTATTACAATTTTCTACTTGTCTCCAAGAAATGCCAAAACTTTAATGTGGCTTTTATATATTAGTACCAAACCATACAGAGATACAAGAGATGAGCCATTATCTGTTATGTATAACACATCTTATACGCTCTTATTCTAAAACACTGATCTGATACAGTCTGAGTTATAAATAAAGTGTTGCCTGTTGTGTGTAGTAGTTGACCAATTACACAACTGTAATGCAACTAACATATATACAGTCATTTATACAATACAGATGATGTTTAAAGAGCAGCCTTTCGACATTATCTGTAATATTATGCTCATATTTATCCATGCTTTTATACTGTGTCAACAACAGAAAGGTGGTATGGATTAAACAAAATTAATGGATAATGGTTCTATTAGCAGCTTTACTAGGGGTCAAGTCAAATGAATGAAATGAATACTTCACATCCATATGTTAAATGCTACACACGCAGCCTCAGAAAACTCAGTGAGGCACTATAGTTCTGTACTTCATTACCCATGCATTGACCATCTTAATCAATTAAAAGGAATTTAATCCAATTAGGGCCGACAGTACGCCTTTCCGAAATTGACTACATGCTCATTAAAAGTAATTGCCTTTCTGAATTTCCTGGAGTCCATGTTCTGCTCTCTGATGCAGCCAGGGCCGCCACCCCCCCACCACCACCACCACCACCTCCCTCAGATCTATTACCTTCAAAAAGACAAAAGGAAACTAGGATACTAATAAGACACCCTCATTGTGCAGCGTGCACCATCACCATGACGTCTGAGAATGATTCAGACATTTCTGTGGTCATCAGTGCCACGGTCGCATTCATCACTGTCCTCTATTAACTTCACTGGAATTTTCCGACTCGTCTCGCACAATATAATTACCAGGGTTATAAGGGTGGAGCAGGGAGAGGCTGGCTACAAGTACTAGTCTTGTATGACTGAGACAGTGCTTCCATGCCTTTCCTGCCCTGTGCACTTGTCCGCTAGCACAAAACAAAACAAAAAAGTCCCCCAAAAAGACAAAAGTGAAAGAACACATTTAAGACTATTAAAAGAAACTCAAAAATGACGACACACACGCACACAGTTAGTGGCTCACTCACCTGCAGGTCAAAGAACTTGCTGTAGCGTCTGTAAATGGTTTCTGTACTGCCATCGCTCCAGGACACTTTGATGATGTAAACCTGGCAAAGCAAAATAAAGGAAAATAACATTGAAACTAATGCACAGCTATTATTGTGAAAAACTAAAGCCCTTGGGGCATCACTCTTCAGTCACTACCATTATTTGGGAGTGTTATGAATCCTAGAGAGGGCTGCATATAGCAGACATCCCATTTCTCTGGCAGCATCACACAGCTGTCACTGAGTGGTTTTCATTACTGTAACATATGCTTCCCCACATCCCACTGCCTCCAGCGACCCAAGAATTGCTCTCCGGTCCCTTAAATGCACCTCAAGGAGATAAAGAAAGAGGAGGCTTTCAGAGAAACCTTGCAAAAGGAAACACAGGTGCATCCTACACAGAAGTCTCCAGTCTTGTGTCGTGACATTTAAATGCCACACTTCCATCCATTATGAGCAAATTGCTCCACTTAAAACACCCTGAAACCACCAACTTCTCCTTTCCTCCATCACATCTACCACATGCCATAGCTGGGAGGAACTAAGACAGACTTGAGTGCGGGAAGTCAGGAGTCATGCTAATGAAAAGCCCCAATGTCATCATCCGTTCACATGAAAAGAACAAGGATATCAGATGATTTCACTTCCTAGTGCAGTTACATCACTTCCTGCTGTAGAAAACATAATTGTTTGTCATAATTGTATACATGCAGAAGAGTGAAATAATAATAATAATAATCATAAAAAAACCACAAAGTTTGTGCTACCTTTCTAACATGGGCAGCACTAGGTTAGATAAAAAGAGGTTGACTGTGTAGGTGCAGCTGCAACTTCAATCAGACATATATCTAAAACAGTAAATCATAATGCACTTTAAATAATGTCAAGAGTTTGGGGACAGCAGCAGATTTTGATTTGGTTCTTTAAAGAATGAAAGGGGAGAGGCAGGGAGGTGATTGGAAACACCCTTGCGGCTTGCTGTGTTTGGCTAAATGCTGCTGGCCCCAATCCCAGACCCTTTCAGGCCTCATTCTCTTTTTTCGGTGGACTCGAATCCGATATTACGATGGACTGATCAACTACGGGAGCTATACAGACAAGCAGCAAGGCCATCTTCATTAAACAAAAGAAGATTCCCCAAAAAGACTAGTTCAGGTTCTGTTTGACCAACTACTAGAATTAAATTACTCATCAATGAGAAGAAAAACTAATCAGTGCAAAGATATCCTGTTGTGTCCTTGCTGCAGATAAAACTAATTAAGAAATATTTGTTATCCAAACTAATTTGCAGCAACTCATAGGAAACAGGAGCTGATACAAAAAAAACATAACTAACCCTCCTAATTAAAGTTCCAAGTTCAAAAAAAAAACTTCAGCCATTAGATATTTGCAGATATCGCTTAAGAATTAGAGCTTTGTGTGAGAAATTCTATAGGATATACTGAACTCTGGTGAGCAGACAAGCCTTACGCAGCTTTTTGCTATTCAAGCTACATGTTCAGACCTGAGACTTTAAATTTCCCGGAACCTTGAGATCTGTGTAAGAGAGAAAAGGCATAAAATAACAGTACACCAGAGACTGAACGAACAGATGGAGAAGACACAGGACCACAAGAACTCTGCGCCCTTGACCACTAACACTCACAGCGGTACAAGGTCTGCTGGTCCTTCAGCCCCCGGTTTAAATTTGCACACCCATATGGATGCATACAAGTACACACACACACACAGTGACACAACATGTACACGGAACTAACACAAACACCTGCTAAGGCCTTGGCTGCGACTCTCTCTCTTTCTCTGGCCAACTACACCAAGTGATGTCATATGTGTGACTTTATACTAAGTGCAGGATTGCAGGCAAATACACCCACATTTAGCTCTCACTAGTCACTAATAAAAGCTCTACTGTCTATGAAAAAAAGAGGCTTTGTCCTGATGACATTCTCGTCTCCCACACAAGGTCTGGTTATTAAGAAAAGAAAATTATTCCCAAGTTCTTCGTCTTCTTTCCCTCCCTTTCGGCAACTGTTGACTGGAAAAGAAACACACAACTCTCTAAACTAAATGTTTTTTTTTTTTTAAAAATAGTAATAAAAAAAATGACAATATCTGACACAGTCATAGCCTACTTGTCATAGCCTACAATGTTAGTCATAGCCTACTTCCTGGTTACCAGTGGCAACTAGCCAGTGTGGATAGTTAGGGGACTGGGCTGACTGTATATTATGTTTCTTGGGCTCTTCCACCATTGCAGGCTTCAGTGGTAAGGTGCTGCAATGGCTACGGTCACATGAATGTGATTCTGGGAGTCACTTAAAAAAAAGCAAAACGAAAAAAAGGGGCAAAAGGCAACGGAAGCCGGCCACTCGAATGCTTCTTAATGATATCCTCACGTTTTTTTTAAATGAGCATTTTATTAGGTCAAAAACAATCTGAAAAACGATAACAACACAAGAGCTTTTGACTTTGAGTCACTGTACAGGTTGCTGAAATATAACAGCGTAAATCTTGATGTCGGTCGTTACTGGTCTTAAGAATAAAGATCCCAACAGATTTAAATAGTCTGAGCATGACCTGAAGTTTTCAGAAATCATATTCTAATAAAGTCTGCTTGACCGTTTCGGCTGATTTGGTCAGCTGTAATTTGACACTCTCTTTGTTTTTTACTTTTCCCGACAGGACAAAGGGGGAGACTGCGGAATATCCGCGATCTGTTGCACATTTCACGCAACAAATCACACGGTTGTGGTAATTACACAAAAGGCTTACGTAGTGTTTGTTCGGATTCCTCCGCTTCTGGACATCTTGAACAGTTACTTCTTGCACGGTGCGCCGTGGCATGATGTCCCCTTCTTTTTACGGATCCGTTGAAAAAAAAAGCAGATATCCCTGTCGGGTTTTTTTTCGAGCGATCACACCCGGCTGAAAAAGTTTACACTGCGACGCTTCTTTGTCATCCGAATGGCTGGGATCGATCTGAACAAACGCCTTTTTTTCTCCCCGTAAAGCTGCCCACGTCAAAATTTCCTGTCCAACATTCAGACTCTCGCAAGCCAGAAGTTAATAATCGGTTCTTCCTTTCCCCCCCTTTCTCATGCCTTGTCCCGACCCGCTGACTGCCCCGACCAAACTCCCAGCCTATCCCAGCTCGCCTACTCCCATTTGAGCAACTGGGACGCTTCGTGGACCAACCCTCCAGCTTCAGAGCAAAACCACAGTCTGCAGGAACACTCGGGCTTCAGTCTGCACACTTAGAGCTAGATGTTAGGCTTTAATCAATATGACAGCACTCAAAAACGGCGTGCTCAAGAGCACTTAAGGAGAGCGAACTTTGCCCATTTCTCACTAAATTGGAATTCTATTTATTTCAATTCTCTGTCGCAACTTTGAATGTTCGCCTTCTTTGCGACCAACCGATCTCCATTAGCAATATAATAACACTGATGCAATTTAAATGACAGTTAAGAGTGGATGTTGTCTCACCGTGCGTACAGCTGAGCTGCAGATGTCTGAATCAGTTGGCTTGAGTCTGAGCTTACTTTTCAACTCATATGCTAACTACAAACTACAGAGGACATCGTTCAGATATACAGTGCTGTGCAAAAGTCTTGAGTCAATCATCAAAGAGATAGGCACTCTTGGGATGAACCAGTGCTGTCTATATATAACACTAAACTTAGCAACCCCCCCCCCCCCCCAAAAAAAAAAAAAAAAAAATCAGTGTTAAATTGTATTTTTAAGACACTTAGTTACTAGCAAAACATAATTTTCTTCCATTTCTTTAGTTAAATCTCTGAAAATTGCCAAAGATAACACAAAATTGAAGTGTTAGGCCTAGAAATATCTAGACTTGAGTGTCTGAAAGTTATGTCTTTAGGAAACAGGGGGGGGAAAAGAAAGAAATCCATAAAAGACCTGACACAGGTCGTGGGAAATCCATCCGGCCCTCACTTGATACATCTACTGTCTGCAGAGGTCTCGCAAGAAATGATCTCAGTGGAAGGGTGAGAAAGAGCACCGGGGGAGAAAAGGCTGAGGGATGCCAAATAACACAAGAATTACTCTGAAAACCAGTGGTAGCAGGCCTTATGGCATTATGAACCTAAACTGAACACTTTTGTATGAAATCCTCGTCAGCAGGTACAGAGAAGGTGTAAAACATGGGGAGGCCATGTTTTAACTGCTCTTTGGAAATCACCAACAAGTTGTTAATGCAAAGGTAGAAACTCTTAAATGCGTGAATGAGTCATATGTTAGTGGGAAATGCCTTAACACGCACACATCAGACTTTAAAACATGATGTGATATCCTGTGTCTCGATGTGATTATTAGTCATAAGATGATGTGATTAGTAAACTGGAAATGTGTTAATATTTATTTTTCCATCCTGGTAACACAACACTATCACTCTATGGTTTATTGTTTAGTATTTAGATTTGTACAAACTCAGAATACTTGCAGTTACAGTCAACATTTCTTTGCTGATATGTCACCAGGATGACTGCTGAGGGCCAGTGTCAGGTTTGTTTTAAAATAGCTCCATCTTTTGGTGTGCCATACTCATTACATTAGTACTGTACATGTGGAAATCTCCCCATCTGTAGATATCAGATGAATATGATGGAAGATATTGGTAATATAATTTAAAAAAATTGAATAAAGTTTGTGTTGAATACACTTGCTATTTTTAAGATGGGGAAAATATTTGACAGCCTCATTTTTAACTTTGAAATAGAAAGCACTTCAGACAAAAGAAGAAATGAAACTTTATATTTATTCCATTGTTGAAAAATAAAGTCACGGTTATGAGTGATGGGATGTGAGATGGGACATTTTTCACAGAAAAGGAGAAGGAAAATGTTAAACATATGACTCGTGACTTTTTAGAAAACATCCTTTTGTTTGTATTCGATATAAAGTATTACAAAAAATTTAAATGGTTGTAAAAACTGAGAAATGGAGACAGACAGTTATCAAGTATAGTAACGCTGGTCATCACAAGTTTGTAGAAATGTGTTTTAAATAAGTGTTATTGTAAGAAAAACAATACAATGCATCTTTGTTAAGTTATTGTAAAAATACAGACCAACATTTTTTTATGGCTATAATAGAGAATAAGAAGAATTAACATTTACAAAAAGTGTCAGAGTAGCCAAGTAAAAGTTGCTCATAGTAAGAAATCGGAAAGCAAATAAGTCTATATAAATTCTTATTAGCATTAGGGATTTTATGTGCAGGGGCATGCACCACGTAAAAAAGACAAGGACGCATGGTGCCTCAGTTGTATAACACATGGAAATAAAGGTTTAGATGAAGGGTGAAGGATCAGTACCATCACACATTTGCAGCTCCAGGTGTGATGTGATGCCAGGAAACTGTTCTTGCAGTGGCAGTAAATAGCCCAAGGCCTCTCCTTGAGTTACCGGGCCGGAGTAACGATAAGGACGGATGTTGAAGATCTTCACGCAGTGTACTAAATGGGACCAAAACAAACATAAATCAATTATTTTGTGGGCATTAATTCCTTAATATCACCCTTAAAAAAATGCTCAGACAAATCAATGACTTAAGCTAACTCAGCTGAATAAAGTGCTTATTGACTACACACCAAAGAGTTTGAGTTTACTGTTTTATAACTTGCTATCAATCACATGTAAATCATATGAAACTGATGAGGAAAATGCTCTGTATCTGTCAGAATGTGACGGCCTCATTTTGAGCTTGTTAACTCTAGTTATTTGTAGAGTTTGCTTCCTTAATGTTTTCCAGCAGTCTGATCCAGAAATTGAGAGCAAAATGGCTGTATTTCCAGTTTTTCTCTGTGAGGAGTATTGGATATCTGACAGATGGGTGTGGGGGATAAGAGTGTGAGTCTGGCTTTTTGATTTTATATAAGTGAGAGCATTTTTAAATCAAGTCTGTAGAATTGGGAAGCCAGTGTAGCTCTAATAAAACTAGTGCCCTCTGTTATGCATTTTAGTTACTAAGCTTGCAACAGAATTCTGATTAAGTTGCAGACCAGAAAAAAAGTGCATTGTAGTAATCCAAACTAAAAGAGATGAGTGCATGAACAAGTTTTTCGGACTGAGCAAAGGGTGGATTTTGGCAATATTCCAAAGATGGAAAAAGGTTGGCTTGGTAATAAGCTCGTGCCTGAAACTCCAAGACTTTCAACTTGTGGTTTTACCCTGTTAGCTTATTTCCCTAGTTTGGCTGAAGGATATAGCTGTGGTAAGGTGGGTTTAGCATTCACTTTATCGTTGGCATATGAATAGTTCACTTGTGCAGCTAAAATCCTCTTCCAGAATTTACAAATGTTACAAATGCAGGCTCAAGACCCTAAAAAAAACCCTTAGGTCTCGCCTTTACCAGCCGCCTAAACAAGCCGGCTGCCAACCTAGAAACAAACAACCTAAAAGTAGTTCTACAGCAAACTCACCAACATCATTAAATCTTAAAAGCACTTAATGATCAGTGTCTCAGCATTAATGTGGGCATCACGGTGAGGTAATGTGTCTCTGTGATGTCTAATCATGTCTGTGCTTTACCCGGAGATGAAAGGAGCTGACAGTACATGTGTTCTTCTGATAATACACTTCAATTATAAGGTGAGAGGCAGAATGAGGACTAATGATGTTTACTCATCATTCCAGCACCTTATCAGCTCAGGATGGTCTCAAAACACATTACCACGCATGAGCACATATACACATACAAATAGGTATACACCGCAAAGGAATACATGGGTATTTTAGGCACATACACAGATGCATTCCCTTTTTTCTCTAATGATGGCCCTTATGGAGGGGTCATTACTCATGAACAGCCTTTAGTGGGGTTTCACATAGACCCCGATCTTAGGGGCTATCAGGAGGTCAATGCAGTCTCCGCTCGCGTTTCAGCACCTTAACTAATCCCTTTAAATCATTCCTTTTCATTCTCATGCAATGCCTCTACCATAATAGCATAGCCTCGCCTTTGCCCTAGCCATGGAACTATACAGTAGATTAAAGGAATTCACAGGCAACATTACAAGGTTACAAGGATTTAATTAAACCTGGTTTATGCTTATTTTCAGTTATAAAAATATCTCAATGGACTTCTAAATTGAATTTTTTAGAAATTGAAACAGACTTGCACACCGACTTATGGCCATACTAACAACATGGGTCTTTGAATGATATTCTGGTAGGCCATTTGACTGGTCTGCCACTTTGGTTCCAACTGAAATATTTAGACAAGTACTGAATGATTTGACGTATGTTTGGGTACAGTTATTCGTGCAGTCACTGATTCGTCCTAATGATGTGCTAAATATCTACTGAAATAGGTCTTTATCTGGTACAGGAATCGTTAAAGACCTGCAAAGTCTTTGTCCTGTTTATTTTGATTGAGACTCACATCTACAGTTTTAAAAAACACTGTAATTTTCCTTGCTTTGCTAACTTTCAGGTATTGTGCTAGCATCTTGTCCCTCTTACCATCACTGAGGAGTTTGACTCCATCAAACTGATAACCAGCTGGGTCTTTCCGACTCACTGGACCGGCCAGAGAGCCTGAAAATGGTGTGTTGATGATCGAATAGTCATCACATACAAGGTCCACTGCTTTATAAAGGCCATTACCTCTGTAAAAAGACACGTGACAGAGGAGACTGGCATTAGTTTGCCATCAGAAAAGGCTAGATTCAATTAGTCATCTTAATCTGGCCAGAACAAAAATGTCTGATTAGTTATTTGGACATCATCTCTGTCTACAGAAAGTCAGCCTTCTACCCAGACAAAGCTTCACTCATCATTAATTCCAAGTGGTTTGGTAAAAATGTGCTTTGTCATTGTAGGGATCAGGCTTGGATACTATACAAAACTAGACATGGGGCAGTATCAGCGTCTGCATGTTGCAGTATGAGTAATCCTCTGAGGGCTCTGAGATAAAGATCTGATCAGGATTAGTCACCTTTGGGAGTTAAAAGCTCCACAGCCGTACGCATCACAAGCCCTCACTCTGTTGTGGTGACCGGCACAAAGCATGCTCCAGGCTTGGACTACAGAGAGAGGTAAAATGAAATAGGTTAGATAATACTTCTCCTTCCAAAATAGGCACCATATTAAAAGCTGCAGCACTGCACGCCAAAAGGCCAAGCATAAAGACGATATTTTTAAAAATATGTTTTAACATCCACTGAC